GCGGCTCACTTTTGTATATGATATAAACAATGTGATCACATAAATTGTACATGTGGAGACATGTGAGTGGGGGCGTCCTATGCAATGAGTATTGCATAAGATCGGACCATGAGAAAAATCACTCTCACTTTATAACGTCGTTTACTGTTGAGACTGATTTTCTTTTCATTCGATGACCTAGGTAACTCGATCTTAATCCTGAGCTAACCATGAACTCCTGTTTATTCAAAATTATCCTTAGATTTGCATGGGTGAGAGTGGCTCAAGTTCGCCGACTCAATAGGCCTCCCATTTCAGGGGTAAGACTGGGTAAATGACTTGGGACGTGGGGTGCAAGATGGAATTCACTCTACCCATTTTTAGGGATAGAAGAGAGGTAGTTCCCTTAAGTACTGACTCCAGGTCTTGAACAAGGGGCCCCACCCTCTCATTGGCCTGAGAGGGATCCGGTTTACTGGTTGGACCACAAACCAGTTGTTCATTAGAGGATCAGTGAGACATAAGAAACAAGAAGTAACTTCAGGGGTAAAACGGTAAATTAGCCCAGCTCTAGTTACGAACAACATGTGAAGGATCGACTTACTAATCATGGTTATATCAAATGGACAGAAATATATCTATAGTGAGGGGAGTGCAACTACTAGGCTATAGTGGAATGTCTTAGTAGTTAACGAATGTTGGTTAACAAGGTTAATGAGTTTAACCGGTTAATCTTGGATCATTGGAGCCCATGATCTATAGGTCCATTAGGTCCCTCTGCTAGCTCATATCGGACTAAACCATAGAACAGTGTGACGAGTGAGTTCGAAGTGTTCGAATTCAAATTAGGGAGAATGCGCTAGTCAATGGAATGTTTGTTTCTTCTCTTATTCCTTGCTACAATGGAATGTTTGGATATCAGTTCCCCATTTTATATCTGTGAAACGCCTCATCTTTGTAACGTCTTCTTGATTTCCTTGCGATTTCAAGGAAAGAATAATCACGTTTTGTAACGTCTATACTGGCCGTTCTTGATTTAATAGGAAGTTTTTTTATTTTATTCTTGTCTAGTCATGCGGTTAACATTGGTCTAAATTATACTATTATTAAAAGTAACCTATTTCTTACATACAAATTTAAAGCAAGAGCATAACCAACTTAGTATTAATTATCTTTCATAATCTGCATAAAAGGTAGGAATTTAGGTGTACTATTGTTATACCTCTTTTCATATGCGAGAAATTTAAGATGATAAACGCAACGATTAGCATGTAGTATAACCCGGTTTATAAAATCTTGAACTGGAAAGCTTAAGTTTTATACTGTTTGATTATGGTTTTTGTGATGGTTAAAGATTACCGTTTAATTGGTGGTGTGAAATTCAGTTGTTGATTAGCATAGTCTAATTCATGAGAATGTTGAACCGTGGGAGGTCTTAAGAGGTTCTTGATTCTTGGCTAAGGTAACTTACTCGCTTCTTGTTCCTTCGTGGCCCTAGACTACTCTTCATGGTAGACCATAAAGGTCACTAGCTCGGTGCATACTTAAATATGTCATCCTGCAAATCATTTTGGTACCCATAACTTCTCTTCTAGGTGAGGGAAACTTGAGGCCAAACATGACATCCTGCAAAGGAAACATGGTGCAGGTCATCCCACCTAGAAGAGGAATTCTTGGGCCTTAGAAAGCACCGCTTGATGCAAGGTCATAGGTCACTTTGGGCATGGTTAGAGTATTACCTAGCATTCTTGTGTTTTTTAGTTTGGGGACCTTGGTCCCTCGTCCTTGAGTGGTACCTAGCATTCTTCTTACTTGGGTAGTTGTAAATCTTGTGTGGTGTTGTTCTTGATCCTCAATCTTGTAAGTTTCTAATGTTCATAATTTCTTGGGGCATAAGTTGTAACTTTCATTTGCAATCATATGAACCCATCTTAGCGTAAGTTGTTCTAGAAGGTCATAGATTCCTAGGGAGTTCTTTCTACCCATATCCTAACCATATTCTTTTATCAATCTCTCATATCCATAGCACTTCGAGGCGTAACCTAACCTTAATGTTTCGTGAATACATCTTACTTCTATCGTTACATTACATTTAGTGCATCCTTCTCGTATCATATATCAAACATATCATTGAACGCATCACACCATAAATATTATCATACAATTCTCATATTATAGCATAACATAAACATAATATAAGCATATTGATTCACAGATAATTTACACATATCAGTATATATGACACGTGCAGAACCACAGGCACGTGTGAACATCAAATATAACCATGCCGATAGTAAGGCCGCTTACCTGGTTAACTTAAGTTGTTGTCACGAATATATCCTTAATGAAAGTTCGATTATGTCCTTTGAAATCAGTAAACCTATTTGAGCCCATGACATCAATTTCAAGTTTGAATACTATAAAATTATTACTTGGGTCTACTCTTATGTTTACTTTTTTCTGTATTTAGTTTATGCTTTTTTATTTAGTTTATGTTTTAATTACAGAATCTTCCTTCTTTTTTTTTTTTTTTATCATTTACTCTGTTGCCTTCTATTTTTGTTCTCATGTATTCCAAATTTATAGTGGATAGGTGTTTCCAAATCTTTCCTTATCTTGGTGTTTCCTTTTGTTCACAAATTTTCTTGGTCATTTTATTTTTAATCTATTCATTTGCTACGGATATAAATTTAATCTAATATTACTAATATAACGTGATTTACTAGAATTCGTATAAATGACTGACATTTAGTTTCTAACTCAAAACTAAACAATGAAAATCTAACTATAATTGACTATGATTTCTTAAAAAAAACTAAAAAGAATAGGATAAAAGAAAACGAAGATTTAATATATACCTTATTGTTCAATTCTATCTTCACTTAAATCTCCCATGAATCTCAACTCCATAAAGGCCATTTTCATTTTTTTATAATTATTTTTATTTCTTTATTTCTTTATTTATTTCATTATTTATGATTTTTTTTTTGGGCTATTAAAGCAGAGTTGATCTAGTCAGTTATTTTAACGTTCCCTAATTCCCGAGTATTTTGATCGATTTAGGGCCTTAACTCATGGTTCTTTGAACTTTTCTTTCATATATCCGAAATTCATACTTGTTTTAAGGTTCATATGGAAATCCAAGCGATTCCTACAAGTATTTCTTAACGAAAAAGTGCAAGGTGGCTATTTACCGCGTTGTCGACGTTCGGGACCTCTGTTCATGATCTTCCGATACCTGAATTACCTTCAATTTTCTTCCACAGACTTCTTATTGTGTCTAGTTTCTAGAACCATAAAGATTTTTCTAAGAACCATTCTGGAAGGGGGATAAATTTTAGAAAAATCGAGGGGTCGAGTTTTTGGTTGACATGGCCGGTTCAATTGAACCGGCCACGTCATCGTCTTCTTCCTCCCGATGGGAAGAAGACGTGCGTGATCTTTCGCGCCGCCGTCTGAAACTCGCCCTCCCCAGCTCCGATCACGCCGTTTCTCCCCTCGAGTTCTTCATAAAACTTAAAAAGGATATTACAAGGAAGAGCTATGGATTGATTTCATACCTTTTCGTGGATCGTAGCCTAAGATATTCGCTTCCAAAGTTCGTCCAAAATATAATTTCTCGCTGGAGTAAAAACAAAGGATTTCTTATTGGGTAGCCGATTCTAAGGGTCTTCAAGGCTCGATTTCTTCATGGAACTTCTTCCTTATTCTTTCCTCAAGCTTAAGAAATTGGTTTCGAGGAACAACTTTGAGTGTGGGACCTTAATTTGAGAAATCACTCTCGGTCTGCAAGTTACATGACTCCTCCGATTTTCAATCTCTTAGGTATCTTGTTCTTAGACATTTCAGCTCTGGATTCCTTCATCAAAGTTACTCATCTTTTTCCTCTTAAGCTAAAGGAATCCTTTATTTGAAGGAAAAGAGGTCATAGATAGGAATTCGACACTTACCCACAATTTGAACACGAAACGAATTTTCTTCAATTGGAATCGTTTCTGAGGTTATTTCTCTTCGTGGTCTTCAATGAAAACATTCCTTGAAGGTGTAGAAACTTATTGAGATTGTTCTTGCTCAACGAATTTTGTGTATCCTCTGATTTGAATTTTGAGTTTTCCTTGAAGCTCTTTAATGGCGGATTGGATTGGGGGAATGGTTTCTAGGCACTTTTCGAACCCTATTCCTTCATAGCACTTGTGGGTAATATTGTTTAGAAACTAGAGGAACAAGTTTGAAAGGAAATGGTTGAGAATTGCTCTCAAATTTGGAAGAAACCCGAGAGTAGAAGACCCAAAATCTAAACGCTTATTGCCTACGATTGGGAGCTCTCCCTTGCTTGACTCTTATTCCAAACTATTGCCCCAACTTCAGAATTTATAGGGAAAGCATAAACCGACATTGGGAGCTCTAGAATCATCGTGAATTATCGGTTGAATTTTCTAGAAAATTCGTCAGAAATATCTACTCCGATCACAGCCTCACCGACTTTGGTTTTGAAGGATCGGATTTTTAGCAGAATGGCAAATCCGTAATTATCCTTAACTTTAGGGGTATTTTGGTAATTTTCCACTTTTCGAATATTTTATTATTATTTCTCCTCCAAAAATCCATAATTTCCATAAAAATTCTTCATTTCTTCTAGGTCATTTCTCATTAGCATCTTGAAATTCCATCAAGATAAGGAATTAAAAATTAAAAATGTTACTTAGAAACGACCTTTTTATCCTTTTCGCTTACCAAACTTCATTCTGCGAAAATTTTTATAAAAGTCTTTCATTTGCCTCTCTTCGATGGAAGTTTTATTTTTTCAGAATGTATCCTCATTGTGGCCTAGTTCTTTTTCTTGGTAGTATTTATTTATTAGAATCATAAGATGGAAAAACAAATATCAGCCATTGATTCATAAGATGGATGGTTCTTTCTCAACTTTATCTTATTCCATAGGGAACTTTATTATTATTAGTATTTAAAATATAAAAATTTAAGAATATTCTAATTTTAATTGATAAGAAATGACTTTGTGGTAATCCAGCATTCATATATAAATTCTTAAATTTGTTTCTTGAAAATATTTTTGTTACACCCGAATAAAGAGGAGGTATATGAATGAAACAAGACACGGTTTAAATGAGGGAAATTATAAAGATAAGATGACTAAAAAAAGAGTTACTATTTGTACCAATGAAGTGCTAAGTTGAGCTATTGTATATTGGGTAATGTAACCGTCCAAGTTTTCCACATTTTTATAAATAATGTTTTATTCCCATTTCTAACCATTCACATACCGTAACGTATGCATATCATATTATAGTCATATCGTTTCATAAACAATTCACATATATCAAATATATGGCACGTGCAAAACCACGGGGAATGTATTGACACAACATCAAATCTAACCATGTCGATAGTAAGGCGACTTACCTGATTTGCTCCTATGACATCTTTCTTCAAATAAATTTGTTTCTACATGTAAATCTGAGTAATTGTGTACAGGCCACTTTTGTTCTTTAATCAATTCTTTGGCGGTATTTTATGGTAACAAACTGAAGACATCTCTCTTCACGTTAGTCTTCTTCTGCATGATGTAACTACGTGAAGTCATTTTTGTTCTCTCCATAATTCTGTGCACATATATTCTTGGCGAAATTTTAATCGATTCTTTTCTACGAGTAAATCTGCGTAACTGCGTACAGGCCATTTTCTTTCTTTAATCGATTATTTGGCGATCTAATATAAACCTTACTTAAAAAACTTACGACATCTCTCTTCATGTAAATCGGCTTCTATAGACACCATCTCATCACGTAAATCTGCTTCTACAGACGACATCTCTCTTCACGTAAATCTGTTTCCATAGGTAAATCTGCATAACTACATAAACGTCTTTTTCGTTCTTTAATCGATTATTTAGCGATCTAATATATCTTACTATAACAATATTTTCTTTCCATTTTTTTTTAATTTGATTTTTAGTTTATATTCCAACCTAACCATTTGAAAGGGTTGACTCTCTATCTGGAGTATCTGGTTCCTCGTGATTATTTTTGTTTGGTTGTTTGAGATTTGGATTCTATTATTGTTGACATTAAAATTATGGTAAAGTGCGAAAGCGAATTATATTTATTTGAAAATTGAAATTTTTTATAGGGTCTCGTTGTTCTATTTTTTTATCACTTTTTTCATGCTCGGGATAAAAGTAAGACCACCTAATTTCCACGTTCGTTATATGTGATGACATGATGTCTACTTACTAGTAAGACCACCTAATTGCGAGTGCTTGTGGCTGCTTCAGTTACTTGTTGTATAGTGAGTCCATTAAGCATAAGATATTTTAATTTCGCAGTGATTAAGTTATATTAAAAAAAACATTGT